CGAGGCCAGCTTTGGCGCGAGCAGCCTCTTTGATGCAAGCCAGGAGGCAGCGTCCGCGGGCAGCAACGGGCACGCGGCTGCGGAAGAGGCCGCGGCAAAGGCGGCTCGCGAGGCGGCGGAGCGCCAGGCGGCGGAGGAGGAGGCGGCGGCCGAGGAGGCGCGCTGGGCGGAAGAGGAGGCGGCGGCCGAGGCCGCCGCCGCCGCCGCCGCCGCCGCTGCTGCTGCTGCCGAGGCGGAGGCGGAGGCTGCCCGCCTGGCGGCTGCAGCGGCCGCGGAGGAGGAGGCGCGGCGGGAAGCCGAGGAGGCGGCGGCAGCTGCCGCTGCAGAGGCGGAGGCTGCACGCCAGGCCGAAGCGGCGGCGGCCGAGGCGGCTGCTGCCGAGGCGGCTGCTGCCGAGGCGGCTGCTGCCGAGGCGGCTGCTGCCGAGGCGGCTGCTGCCGAGGCTGCGGCGGCGGAGGCTGCGGCGGCGGAGGCTGCGGCGGCGGAGGCTGCCAAGGAGTCCCCGCTGGGCGTGTCCTCTCTCTTCGAGGGACAGGAGCCCGGCGCAGACGTCTCCTCCGGCTCAGGCTGGCCGTCCGACTACTCAGGGCTTGGCCAGCCCGGCCTTGGCCAGCCCGGCCACCAGCCTGGCCTGTCCCCTGCCGGCGAAGGCGAGAGGGGGGAGGGGGAGGAGCAGGTTGGTGCGACCGACGAGGCGGGCGAGTGGGGGACGGACCAGACGCCCGACGGGCACACGTACTGGTTCAACTACGTGACGGGCGAGTCGCGTTGGACGCCCCCTGACGAGGACGAGGCAGCAGACAGTTCCGAGACACTTCCGAGACCGCCACCGCCACCGCCACCGCCACCCGCCACCGCCACCGCCACTCTACGTGCACCGCCGCCGCCCTCGGCACGTGACATCCGCCCGCTGACACGCCCGCGACACGCCCACGCCGCGTCTGCAGGCGGCCCCTGCAGAGGAGCTGGCGGAGTCTGACGGCCTCTTCCCCGCGCCGGGCGAGAACCTTCCCTGAACCTTCTCTGAGCCTTCTCTGAACCTTCCTGTAGGCCTCTTCCACGCGCCGGGCGAGAACGGGCACGGCGGCGCGCAGGAGGGGTACGCGGCGGAGGGGTACCCGCAGGAGGGGTACCCGCAGGAGGGGTACCCGCAGGAGGGGTACCCGCAGGAGGGGTACCCGCAGGAGGGGTACCCGCAGGAGGGGTACCCGCAGGAGGGGTACCCGCAGGAGGGGTACCCGCAGGAGGCGGAGTACGCAGCGGAGGGGTACCCGCAGGAGGGGTACCCGCAGGAGGGGTACGCGGGCAGCGGCGAGTACCCGCAGGAGGGGTACGCGGCGGAGGGCGAGGCGCCGCAGGGGGAGTGGGTGCAGGAGACCACGGCAGAGGGGGAGGCGTACTGGTACAACACGCTGACGGGCGAGTCCTCCTGGGAGCCGCCGCCCGGCGCGGCACAGCCCGAGGCCGAGCCGCAGCAAGCCGAGCCCGCCCAGCAGGCCGAGCCGGAGCCGGCGCCTCACCCGCCGCCCGAGGCACCCCTTCCTTTCGACGAGCCTCCGGCCGCCGACTCGCTGTCGTTCGGCGAGGCGCCGCCGGCCGCAGACAGCGCGCAGGCCGGGGGCGCGCCGGAGCCGTCCGCCGGCCAAGTCGTCTCCGCGCCGGCTTCGGACCCTAGATGCTTGACTACGTATTCCTGTACCCCAACCAGCACTCGAGAGAACACGTGCTCCGCTGCCTTCCGCTGCCTTCCGCTGTAATCTCACTGTACTCCCACTGTACTCCCACCCGTCGTCTTCACGCGGTGCTCCTGAACACGCTGCACAAGACCCCGTCTTCCCGCCCTCATGTCGGCGTATGCAGCACGCAGGCTCTGTCGTGGCGGGTCCTTCTCTGAACCTTCTCTGAACCCTCTCTGAACCTTCCTGCAGGCCTCGGACGATAGCGACTCCCTCGTCGCCTCCTTCCTTGGAGGCAGCCCGCCCAACGTGCCGCTCCTCGCGACCGCCGCTGCACCTCCCGCCCCTCCCGCCCCTCCAGCCGCACCAGCCGCGCCCGCCGCGCCCGCCGCGCCCGCTCCTCCCTTCGCCGCCGCGCCCGCCCTCCCCGTGGCCGCCGCGCCCCCGCCGGCCGCCGCCGCGCCCGCGCCGCCGCTCCCGGCTGAGGAGGGCGTCGCGTCGGACCTGGAGAGCTGGCTCGCAGACGGTGAGCTCCGGCTCCCTCCCCTCGCGGCGGCGGAGGACGCCTCCCTCCTCGCAGAGTACCCCGGCCCGCTCGACGAGGCGCGGAGATCGGCCGAGAGATGAGCCACATCGCCCGAGGCCCCCCGAAGGCCCCCCGAGGCCCCCCCGAGAACCCCCCCAAGAACACCCCAAGATCCCCCCGAAA